GAGAGAGAGAGAGAGAGAGAGAGAGAGAGAGAGAGAGAGAGAGAGAGAGAGAGAGAGAGAGAGAGAGAGCAAGAAGAATAAGAAGATTGTCGCATACCATACTCTCCTTCTAAACCTGCCTTCTATCTATCTCTATATGCCTTCATCCCTTCGCCTTGGTACGCCTATAAGCCTACAGCAATCGGAAACATGATCCGCTACGACAATATTCTATTCCAAGGTGTTGCTGCATCGTCTATATATACACGTGAATTATCACCACGAACCGTAGGAGCGTGCAGTCTATATGTGCGTGCAGTTATTGTTTTTAATATGAAACACTGCATCGTCTATATACACGTGAATTATCACCACGAATCGTAGGAGAGTGCAGTCTATATATAATATATATATATATATATATATATATATATATATGCGTGCAGTTATTGAGCGTTAACACTTTCTCGGTCACTGAACAGAGGACAACTACTGTTCCGCATGTTCCGCATGTTCCGCACGTTCTATGCACTCGGAACTACAACGGCAACACGGATGTGGGCGCTGCGGGTGTTGTCACAACTCATGTATTTTACTGTCAGCGGATTTACCATGTGTACATACATATTCACGCCGTTACATCGTTTCACCGGGACATTTGTTTGTTTTAAGAAAGTTACAATGGCTCGCCAACACGCCCACCATTATCGGGCGCGTGTTAGCGGCCGGGCCGACTTGCTAGCGCCGCGCGTGACTAAACCTGTAGTATATACAACAAGAGTAGATAATAAAGACTATATAGTCTCGATTATCTACATAATAGAGACTATATAGTCTCTATTATCTATTCTTGATATACAATAATATGTGTGTGTACGGGACTGTACGCGTGTATGCGCTTGCGGGGATTTTCATCGTACCGATACTAACGCAGCCACGCGTACACACACACGTTCACGCGCAGACGTGAATATACGCCTTCGTAGCACGCTTACGCGCACGCATTCACATACGGTTACGCGTGCGCATGATCTTACGCACACGCGTTGTCGCACAACAGTGGCGGGAAAATGAAGAACTGAGAAAGGTAAACTGGAAAACGAACGTAGTGAGGGGATGATGAAAGGTATATAAGAAAGGAGCAGGTGGCTAAAGAAGAAGGTGAAGAAGAAAGACAAGAATGGGAAGAAGAAGAAGAAGAAGAAGAAGAAAAAAAAGAAGAAGAAGAAGAAAAGAAGAGATAGAAGAGAGCGAAGGAGAGGAGGTGGAGGGGAGTCGGAATAGGGAGTGACCGATCTTGCGTGTAACTAGTTTTTCGGTGACTAGTTGTTGTCTTTCGACAATTCAACTGACTCCCGCGCGTTCACCGACTGCACGACGACAAAAGACTTGAAAACTGCCGACACTCGTGCTAGTTGTGTCGAGTACATGAATGGCTCACTCACTCGCGTCACTCTATGCGTGCCCCTGAATCGCCGAAGATTAGGGTCAACTGGTACTTGTCCATGTGTTTTGGGAAGTGCAGCAAGTCTTTCAAACTTTTTTGACTCGGGCAGGTAGGCATAAAACGGGCGTAAAATCTAGGTTGGCCTCGACGCAGGTAACAAGAGCCTCCCATGACGCTGCAGTGTGGAATTCACACAGTGCACATTTACCTGGCTGGCTATGCGTGTCCCATACCCCCGTAATATAGGAAAATAGAGCAAAAGCGGTCGAGATAGAAAGACAATAACTGACCACGAGTCACTTACGGACGAGGCGCTTGGGTCTGCTCACATATATATTTACGGTGTCCCAAATAGCCCGCGTACATGCACGGAACACGAAACTATGCGCATACACTCGTAAAGTTCACATTCCACGCGAAGGTCTTTCTAAGCGGAAAACAACAAACCCGCGCGTAAACCTGTACTGAAGGTGCTCGTGAGTGTACAGCACGCATGGTGGCTACTTGTAAATCCCCTTCTTTGTACAGACACCAGTCCATCCAGTCAAACAAAAACATACCAATGCAATGCGCGAACGGGATAATTTACAGGAGTTTCGATAACTAGACCTTGCACGCGGGACACAATAAGAAGATATCACATCACTTAAACATTTTTATAATATACATATATATATATATATATATTGATATTGATATTGATATTAACCGGCATGAATTTTCTTTCATCTAAAAATCATTTTACATTTAGATCATCAACATCAGTTGGTTGAGTAAGGTGCACTCAAGTATACATAACAAAGTTACGTTGGCAACTCCCCGGACCATGTGAACGTGGATGATTATCGTAAAATATACAAACTTACACGTAAATAATGTAACATGTTACGTATATAAAAACAGACATCTTATTTCTACAACTCGAGAAATAATATAATCCTTGGGCAAAAAAGTGGCCTTCGTAAGAGCAAGCATCGACAAAAGCACATACAGAAGCACATAAATTACGCGCTCGCATAGTTCCTACTAATAGTACTCTAATACATTATGTGCTCTTAATAGAAATGCCGCTCACATCGTGGTTGATTATCGCGCCTGTCATTCTTACACGTCGAGGAGACCAGGCAATCCACCCACCCGGCCCTCATCCTTCCCTCTGCGTACTGCCGGTGTGTTGAGCGCAAAAGTAAAGATGGACACCGTACACTGTCGGCTTTGTCTCGCGCCATAATCGAGCTCTCTTTTGCCCGTAAACCGGACCGTAAACAGCCGGACAAAGGGCGCCCCGCGCCCGCGAAGAATGAGCCACCTTGTGCGAAGAAAGCTTCGGACGACACGTCGCCAGCTTGCAGGCGTGTCACACACACGCGTGACGCACACACGTACGTACGCGCGCATACGCACATGAACATAAACGCACACTTCGTGCGTGCGTGTGTGTGCGTTTATGTTCATGTGCGTGCGTGCCCATTAACATCGCGCGCACGCACGCGCAGACACACACGCGCGCACGTAAATAACGAGCGCACGCGCACACACACACACACACACACACACACACACACACACACACACACACACGCACGCACGCACGCACACACACACACGCACACACACACACACACACAAACATCGCGCGCACGCACGCACTGACACACGCGCGCGCACGTATGCAGGCACACACACAGCTATGTCGTGAACGCTTAATGAATGAATACACAGGAAGTGAAATAGAGCGACTAGGAGAGAATAGGAATAGCTGGATTTCAGTAGCAGCAGAAAATTAATCCTCACTACATCAAATCTACACTGTATACAGTTTGTACTCGGTTATGTTTGTGTGCGTGAGGCGTGCGTGCATCGTTAGATAACATAATATATGAACATGACAGTATCAACCCATACGAGCACAGCGCTAATATGCCGCGACTGAACATTACAAGAATAATATATTGCTGTTAAAGTTAACAGGCTTCTCAACTCTCTCTTGCCATAACATGAAAGCGAATGTTACATGCGATGGCTTCAATGGCAGTATCGGGAAACCAGCATACAGGGCTAATATACCTGCTGCCCGCTCCACTGTATGTTAATGACGCGTTTATGGTAATTTTATTCATAACCAGCGCGGAGTTTTGCTCAATAGAGCAAACACCTGCATGATCGCGACAACATCAGCTTGTATAATATCAATATCTAGACACCGCGTTCAAGCTTTTTGTAATATCGAGGTGAGTGGCTTGTAATTTTTCGCGAGTTACGTGTGTTTGTATAACTGAGTGAAAAGCATATGAAGCAGTATAAACGTTACCGCCCGTCTGCTTGCGGGGTTACGGTGGTCGAAGAACGTGACAATCATCACGGCATCAACCCACAACTACTGTTTTCACACACTGCACCTGACGCACGACCTCCCACATTCCACACTCCAACTCCCACATGCCACCCTCCACCCAACCTACCGCTCTCCGCCTCCAGCCACCCGCACACCCCACCCCCAGCATCCACCCCGCACATGCCATCTGCTACCCACACACGCCCTAAGCACATCACCATCCACCCTCCATGCACTACATTTACACTTTAACCCACATATACCGCAGACACGCACACCACCCTCCGCGTACCATATATTTACTCTTCACCGTCTTTCACACATCCCACGTACGCACACCACCATCCACTAGTATCCATGAACCACCCTTACTATTCACCAGACGCACACACACCCTGCACCCCCCATCACCACCACCACCCATGCACTGCCTTCAGCTTTCTTTCCAGACACACATCAAAAACACACACACACGCGCACGCACACGCAAATGCACGCCACGAACGCAACACACACACATCACACACACACACACCACACACACACACACACAACACACACACACACACACACACACACACACACACACAC